GGAGCGCTTTCTTGCAAATCGTACTTGGAAATGATTTAGTGTGTAATGACTTTAGTGCCTTCCACTCATCTCCGTCTTCCACGTAATTTAATCGACGAACGTACACTCAGAGGAAAAGATAATAGCAATAAGATGGCAATAAGGTGATTTAATAAAGTTTTATCTATGTACATGGTTGAATAAAACTGTTTCATTATATAATTATTCAACTATGTATATTAATTCAACATATGAACGTATTGTGTAATTTGTAATACCTGCTACATTTTTCTCTGACTGTATTATAAGGCCGAGGTATACACTCGGTTCTTCACATGTACTACACTTTGTACATACTTTCCGATCACACAATGTGTATATTCCGACTCGACGGGACCAAATTATCACCGAGATCGTTGTCGACGCTCACGATATTGTCGTAACTAGATATATATTTTCTACGAATTTATTATTAGTGGAACATTTGTTTAAGTTATTAGCGTTGCCATGTTACGCACCTTGTATACTCGCGTCTTTTCGCCGCGCGCCGACAATAACTCCGAGATAATTATCTCTAGTGTATTAGGATCATGGCGAGGAGAAAGGCGATTCTCTGTAAGAAAGAGTGCGCGTTTTCTGCTAACATTCCAAATCTGCCTAATGGATAATCGCGTTTATGAAACGAGCACACATCCGTTCCCTGTTAAAGCGAGGCATTGTTTGAAGCCAAGGAAGATTAGAAAGACGATTTAGAAACGTGAGGAGAGCAAATGGATGAAGGAAGTATGCCGCCTACTTGCGAAAGTCGATCTAGTGGCGCGATAAATATTCAATCAACGAACAAAAATGTTTTTCACAGCACGTACCGCGTATAATAACGTATACGCGCGCGAACGCAATATTATTATAAGTTGTAATGGTCGCGCGGCTATGCCAGTTATTTAATGGCAATATAAATAGTACGGACGTAATGCGCAAAAGGAATAGTCGCGGATAAACGTAATGAAAGTAGAGCAAAGCGGCGAACCGTATAAAAGAGAGGCATACATCTAAATATATATCGGCTCTGAATTTGCCGACACGCGACTCAAGTAACGTATTACGTTAAATCGTGATAAAACGGGAGATCGTTATTCGACCTAGCTGATACAAAAATTCGTTCGTAAAAATAACACGCGCAGCATATTTTACAAATACGCACAATTCCGCTCGTGCGATTAAACCAAAATCAAATTCGTTGTAATTGCGAACTGTACTGAGAGAGAAGTATTAGTATTTTTGGTATTTGTGATTATTATCGATGGTGAAATAATTATAGTATTAGTAGCTCCATTTTTTTTAAGTTGTTACTGCTAATGTTAGCAAGAACAAATATATGTATAGTTTTATACATCAAAAAATAAATGGTCCCGAAAATAATTATAAATTTACAGTCATTTTCGTTCCTCAATGGATAAACCAACTGTATTGAAGAATTTCAACGTTTGCAAAGCTACTACTTTTTCTCTTGAACACAGCCATATTATTCTTACTAACATTTTACAGTACTATAATAATTACAAAAATGAAATTATCACAAATATCAAACATTTTTCTTTCAGTGTCGAATCCAATCGATATAATAACACTCTGAATAAACATTAGCCTCGAAATAGTTGACGGTGAAAACTTTTAGGCGGCATATCTTCTTCATGCGTTTAGCTTTTCGCGAAAAAAAATCTCATTCCATGACGTACAATACTTGACAGCGCGACGACAAGAGGAGTGATATTAGATTATACTACCATCACCAGAGGCGTGTCGCGGGATAGGACGACGGGCACGATATTTTTATCGGCATCGGTGTGCTCGGGGCGAAAAAGAACGACTCAATTACGCGCGCGGAGAACAGGACGCGGACGTTAACAGGGTACGCTTTAGCCGACTTTTTGCGGCAATTATTGACTGCGACTGACGTGTTCACGTGTGTCACGTCGCCGAGCGTCGCGAGCAATAAGCAACTAATATCCAGCAATTATCAACACGTGGTAATTAACGTCAAAAGCCATTCGCTCGGCTTTTCTCCGAGAAGAACGTAACGCCGCCGCTAATTTCATCCGATAAAGACTCGGAGTCAGATTTCGAGATAACTAACTCGCTTAAAAAAAATGCTGGTACTCTTAATATTATCATCATCCTACCGTTTGTTCGTATCAGGGATACTTTACGTTATCGTTCTCGTCCGCAAACTTGCTCATGCTCCGAGAAAAAAAAAACGGCGAAACGCCTTCTCCTTCGACGACCGGCGTTGGCGCACTTCTCGCGTCACATTATCGTTGATCGTCGCCCCCGGGGGGCGACTCGCAGCTCGCGTATTTACGAGCGGCGCGTTAATTGAATCCCGGCGAGAACGATGTAATATTATACCGGTGTTATCGCGCGTCCGCTAAAAGTGCGACACGCCGAGTGGTAAGCGAGGTGCGCTTGCAAACGTGAGGAGAGAGAATTAAGTGTGAATGAACGGTATTAAAATAGGCGTGCGCGCGCGCGCGACATTCCCCGATAAAGTATCGAAAGTAAAGTAAAGGCGAGATATCTCACGGTGCGGGGCCGTAAACCAGGCCGCGTTACTTACTATACGACGACAAGGTACCTTGGAGATAATCACGCCGCGCAACATTGTAATCCCGCGGTATCCGCGAACGGTTCCTCTCCGGTGCACTAATAAAAGACTTGGACCAGATCCCAAACAAGACGTTGCGTAACGTTATCGAACGCGTTACATGAATGAAAGCGACATTACGCTATGCCGTTCCACATGAAAGACTGTCACACTAGAATCTTCCTCGACCGAAGCGTGAAAGTCTTTACTTTCGATTCCGTTAGCAACTGCATGCATTACTCAAAGCGATGAGAAAGAAGAAAATGTACTTAGTGCCTTCATAGATAAAAGATAACATAAGTAAAATTGATTGCGTGTAATTCAGCCGTTAATCCGTCGGAACTGATGTCAAAATCTGTAACACAGTTACTGATGCTATAGAAAGTCTCTATACGAGACTCGTTTAATATAATGTTAATTAAAAGGCATTAATTCATTTCAAGGAATCAAAATAACACAACTCGTATAAAAAAGAATAAATACTAAATTTATTATTTGATCTCCGTGTGCAATCTGGATCTTTTTTATCCAGTTTAAATTTTTTCATTGTTTTACATCTTCAAAAAATGTGGAAAAATTCAGTTACTTTTCAACATTTATTACATTACCAAATAGTTTTTAACATGTATGTTATTGAAATGAAATATTAACTTTACACTTTATTCAGTAAAAATTACAAAATAAGGAAGAAATTTGAGAGTATATAAAATTTTATTTTTTCACCAAAACTTGAATTGCGGACGGAGCGCGTTAACGACAACAATTTAAGTTTATAGACGTAACGTAAAATATATAATTGAATGGATCCAATAGGCTCACGTCAGTTCCGAAGAATTAAACGCAGCTATGTGGTTCAAGTCACCAGATATTGTCACTCGTTGTCGGACATTTGAACGGTATTATAACACAAAGCGGGGATTTGGCGTCAAATGCGCCGCGAGAATGCGGGTCTAAAAATAGCCAGACTAGCCGCGCGCGTGCGCGCGCGTTTTACTGATGAATTGTATTAATCGTCAAATTGGTCAGGAGGCTTAATTAGACCCAATAAGTTAACTATCAAATAATTGTTGCGAATTGAGGCCGGTCATACGTGCCATACGCGAACGGCGGAAGTCAACTGTAAATGTATCGCTGCGCCGCCGCGCCGGACGTTTCTTTCACCCGTTACCTCGCCTTAGGTCCCCCGCTTTTTTCGCGTCACCAATTTCTCACCGATCGATCAAGATTCTCTTATTTGATAAATTTTTCCACACGCGACGCTGAAAAATACTCCGCCAAGGAGACTCTAATGCGTTATAATAGCATGTGATATATCGGCGCCAAGTGACGTGTACTCTTTATTGCGAACCGTCTGACTGGACATGACGATATTATTATAATAAAGCAATTATAAGTGAATTAATCGAGTTATTATGTTTCCGCGTTATATAACGCCAGATGAAAAGTCTGATGATTTAAGTGGAATTGTATTTGATTTGATATTTTTACTTCAATTTTATTTCGTTGATAAAGGAAAGAGTAATAAGGAGTTCAAGTTACTCCGGAATATAAATGAATTTTTTGATAACCGGCGATACAGGATGTGTGTTCTAAAGCGGTTTGCGGGCCGCCGCTTTATACGAGATGTTTACGATGCGTTCCCGATTTCTTAAGTTGAGACGTGTGCTCTAAAGTACATTCCGTGTTTCTATACTCTATAGAATCCCCTCCGCGAACGCAATAATTCTTTGTTCGCGTTTAACATTAAGTAAGAAAAGGTTTAATGTTAAGTAGCATCAATGTCACATGCGTTGACGTTAACCGCAATGCGCTTTTATTCCGTTTAACGACGATTCTCTAATGTTCTGTAACGATTGTACGGCGATACAATCGATATTTGGGTTTCACCTAGAAAGACGTAAATTCCTTAGATTTACTTTACCACATTCGTGAATACATACACACACACACAACATACCTGTCTTTCTTAAGCGCCGTTTTCTAGGTGACTCCGCCCACGTTCAAGGTATAAACGGCAGATGCACCTGCGTGCATCGAGACGAGCGGATATCGATTCGACGTGAAACTTGCACAGTGCGGAATCGTTTGCGCGACAACGATTCATTTTCCCTCCCCCGTTTCGATCCCGATCGATGGATCGACCGCACGCGGATTGAGGGTTTTTCGCGAGAGAGTTCGCTCGTCAACCGAACGCATGTTAGACGAGTGCGATGGACGATCAATTAATAAAAGAATCATGCAATAATGAGAACATTTATTCACCCTGAATCCCTCGCCTTCCCCTTTGTTTCCTTCCTCCTCCCGCTCTTCAACTGGTCGATCGCCTCGACTAATAGCTGCTTTTCTGTGTTTTCTCTTTTCCACGGGGGGCGTTTACTAGCAGACAGCTACCAGTACCAGCTGCAGTCCATGTGGCAAAAGTGCTGGAACACCAACCAGAGTCTGGTGCACAATCTGCGCTTCCGGGAACGTGGACCCCTCAAGTCTTGGCGACCAGAGACTATGGCGGAGGCGATCTTCAGCGTACTGAAGGAAGGACTCTCCCTCAGCCAAGCGGCAAGGTGCGTTTTCAAACAGCCATACTTTTATCAATTTTGTACTTTTTTGCTATATTTTAATGCACCCTGAGAAAAAGATATCCTAAATGTAAATAAATATTTATTTAATAAAAGAAATGATTGTTAAATCAAATTAATGTTTTTTATACCAAATAAATATATCTTCATGTTTAATAAATATTTAGTTGGCGTTATTCAAATAGATGATTTATTAGAATTTAGTATTTTTTTCAGTACATTAATACTAGAAGCACAGACAGAAAAAGGAATTTAAGATATTGAATAGTACGTTTTATAAATTAGCGGAACAAAATGTGAACAGAATCAATTCCAACTAATATTTTTGTTTGTATAAAAAATTTGTTGTGCTCGTTATTATTCTGCTAACTTTTAAGACGTGCAATAAACATCGACACATCGTAGGTCAACGCTCAAAATTACAAATTTTGGACAATGTTAATCGTTATATAGCATTAAATCGTTAATTTTTTTAAATATATTATTAAATATTTTATAACGTACGATATTATGTCTTTATATATTTCACTAATTGTCACCACATAATAAGACATTGATTTGAAAGAAAAAAATCGCGTTAAAAAATACCGTAGCAAAAATAAATAGCCCACATTACGGGCCATTGAACTCATGTAATATTAATATTAATCGATACAACACATTAATCTTAAAAATATTCCAACATCCAACGCTGTTTTGTAAAAATTATTTATCTCATTTAATTGCACTTTTTCACTATATTACATGTAATATATTAATACCGGCTGATATAAAACGCGTTAACTTAAAAAATATATCGAGATGTCTCCGATGTATATTGCAAAAATAATTAATTTACTCGCAATCATTTTCCGTATATACGAGACAGGTACACCATCCGTGTGTATCCGCGCGATGGAACCAATAATAAAATTAATAATATATTCCACGCGCAGTTGCATAAAACTTTGGTGCGTATCATTGAATATTAACACCGAGTGATGAAATGCGTTAATATAAAAATTAAAGAATTATTTTAATTGCTCATCCCAAGAGTTCGTCCCGCGCCCGCGGCAGCGTGTTCTTCTATAACGTTAATAATTGATACGTAAAAGATAAATATTTTACGCGAGAGAGCTTATGCCACGCCGTTGTTTCCTCCGTGCGCGCCAACTCACGCAATGTATCGGGTAAATAGTTAAAATTGTTATATAAATGTCTTATGATGCGGCGCGTACAATAGAGCCACGGTTATTACGCAATGAAAAATTCCTGGAAATTATCCTGCATCAAGCGTACCTTATCGCCGTACTTGAATCATGCTAAATAATCATCCGATCTACTCCGTTCAAAGCGGCTTGCTTTAAAATCATTTGCGCGGCGGACGTCGTAAAGTCTGTATCACGTTTGCTTAACAACGTCGACTCGCCGTTAAAGGGATTTCTTTTAATTCGCGTACAAAGCGACTCAATAAAGCACGACTTTACGAGCCGCGAGCGATAATTTTTACGATAATCGATTCGACGATCTATAATGCTTTCCAAATGCTTCCCGTCAGCGCAACACGACTCTCTACGACCTGCCATTTCATAAATTTCTATTTCATCCGCAAGAGGCTTCTTGCTTGAATTTAATTTCATTGATACATTTCAGTGTTACGATATATATTTTTTTTATACGAGCAAACGAAACGACGAAATGCTACAATAATCGCGCAGACACAAGTATATATATATGAGACAAGCGATTTTCTCGTTGCTCCTCGTGAAGAGTTCTACGTTACTTCGTTAAACGCACAACGTCATCGCCGGTACCTATTCCCCACGCGATTGCATAATTTCGAGAGATTGCATAATTTCCATCGTCATGCATTCAAATATGTTCCGTTGAATCTTTCATTCTCCGTCGGTATAATAAAATTAATATAAATTAAAATGAAATTACGTAATGAAACGGGATAAACACATAAAATAGCATTAAAATACGAACAAGCGGGATAGAATAGCTAAAGTTAATTAAGAGTACGTAATGTAATGCGTGATGTAAGATACGTGGTGGAGCTGAGCAAAGCTATAAATTATGTTGATTATAATTATAAGCTACAAATTATAATTGTATCCCGCTTCTCTACCTTTCAGGAAATACGATATCCCCTACCCGACGTTTGTCCTGTACGCGAATCGAGTACACAACATGCTGGGTCCTAGCGCCGACGGCGGGGCCGGTAAGTATTTTAGTTCCCATTCTTTTAGTATCCTCTGAAAATGCCTTTCGCTCCTCGATCAACAATAGTTGCGTTTGCAGAGAAAACTGATCAATGAGTGCTTAGTAAATCCTTAATATGATTAGTTCCTACACTCTCAGATCTAGCGAAGAACAAAAACCAATTACATTAAAGAATCACTGAGAGCTCATTGATTAGTTTTTTCTGCTGAACGCGGCCAATGGGTGCATTCAGCAGACTCAACGGTAGAGTGAGCGTTGCTATTAATGTATTTTTCTAGATCTAAACGTCTGATTGGATGATCTAGAAGAATACACCAATAACTACAGCGAGCACTCACTCAATTGTTGAATCCGCTGAATGCACCCATTGCGTCTCTCAAGGATGAGAGTGGAAACAATGCCAACAACCGGATCGAGACGCAGCGGATTATTGTAACAATGGAAATATCGAGAACCGCGATACGAATGACATATCGTGTCAAGAAAGATGACTGAAGAATTTATAATGATTGCACAAAGTATTCGTATAGGAGAGATCCTTACAAAAAAAAAATTATTTTTAGAAAGTAAACATTAATTAGTAATTCAGGGTTGCCACAGACCTGGAAAACCGGGAAAAGTCAGGGGAAAATGTAAAAAATAGTCTGGAATTTTGAAATTTGCTCACAATTTCCTTAAACTGCTGCTAATCCAGATAATTATTATAGTTTTTTAATATTATATCTGCGTTTATAGTGAAATACGTTCAACACTTGCACGCTTTAAATAATTTTAATAAAATAATTAAAATTTATAATTCATTCATTATTTTTATTCGATCGTCCTTTTTCGTAACTGCATTCTTTTTTTCAATACTAATTTATTTTTTATTGGCTCAAATTTGCAAAATTTTAGTGCTACGCCTTTTTTGCGTTGTTTTTAATAATATAGGCTAGATTTCCTACAGTTCTTTAAATGTATTAAAATTTACATATTTTACATTGGGAAGTTTTCCATTCTCATCTGGAAAACCTGGAAAAGTCAGAGAATTAAAAAATTTATTTTCCGTGGCAACCCTGTAATTTATTAAGAAAGAATAAAATAAATTTTTCAAAATTATATAAAAAGATATGTAATAATTGAAATATTATCTTTATAATAAACGAAAAACTTTTTATTTAAAAAAATCTCTTCTGTAGGAACTTTTGGCATTCACTATAGAATTTATGGTTTTTTAACAATATATTTCTCATTGACGAAGGCGAGATTAATGCCGATCAAATAGAATCGAAATGCACCAGATTATTATTATAACGCCAATCATCAGAACACGAGTGGCGTATTATAAAGAGAACAGCTGAAAAATTTATGTAGAATTTCTGATTTGGAAAGAAAAATTGTGACAGAAAATTTACGCTTATGTTCAAAATATAAAAAAGATATATTTTATCCCTTCGTGATTTACTTGGTAAACCTGAAACGAGCTTGAAATTCCATGCGTTCAACATCGTGGCTCTTAAAACGTTCTTAAAACCTTGGTCCATCACGCAAAGAACTCGTATAATGAACCGCGACGGTGTGGCTAATTGTAAATAGTGATAAACGGCATTGGATCGGGAGAAGAATAAGCTTGAAAAGTCAATTACGTTCGTAAAAGCCGCAATTACATCGTGCAATTATGACCGGACTTAATATCTAATAGTAACCTTTAGTTACGCGTCATTAGCATGTAACGTCCAGTAAACACTGATCAAACGTATCATTAAAGCTCGTATTTATAGTCGTGTTTCTGCTGAGGAACTCAACTAGTTTTGAGACATAGAACAGTTCAGTAGATGAAAGTCGATTTGATATTCTTAACCTCGTATTTCTAATTGCGATTCAAATGAGAGAAACTCAGATAAAGTTTATCTTAAGACACCGCCTGAATTCTTTTTTTTTTTTTACCATTCAATAGTCGATTGTTGAAAAAAGAAAAATATCCTTGATTAATTGGAAAAAAGGTGGTATAATATATATATTCCCCTTTTATTTTTTGTGTGTACTTTTTATTTGTTTAATTATATAGTTATTTAGTTATGTTTTAAATCAATGATATCGCAAACAATAATTTTTAAATCTAAGTTTATGTATAAAACACACTTGAAATGATTAAGATAGTTCACAAAATATGGAAAATTATTTAAATGAAAAGAAACATTATATAATGAGACCATCTGAATGTGATCATGAAATGAGTCTCCCAATATTTTTACAGAATTTAGATTCTTCAATGGGAAATCCAAATAACTTGAATTCATAGAAAATTCTGAATATATTGAGATATTATCAGATTCAGAAGTTCTTTTCATGAATACGTTCTTCGAGCAATACTCTTGTGTTGATCTTGCCTTCGGGAATGTTTATAACGAGCACTTCCTTCTCGCTTCACAGATACCTCTAAGGACTTTTTAAAATCATCTTAAAATGATATAATATAATCACAAAGATTTTTAACATAAAACAATGCCCTGTAATGTTCTTCGTTAAAAATCAATCCCGGGGTCCACTCCTTGTTAAGAACCCAATACAGGTACATTAATAAAATTTACATTTAATTATGTCCGAAAATACAATTATTCAAGCTTACTTATCTTCTCAAAATAGAAGAACAGCACCTTAATAATTAATTTAGGGTCTAAATTTATTACTTATGAACTTTAAGCAATATTAAATATTGAATATCATACAAAAAATTTTGATATACCTTGTAATAAGAAAACATCAATTATCAACAAAAAAAAAAGATCGCGTCGGTCGTGACAGGAATTATTTCGCAACTTCGATATCTAAGAACAAGTTAAAGTTTTTGCAAGAGATGGTATTAATTATAACAGAATTTTAAGTGGAGTCCACTTAAAATAGTAGCACAGAGCAGGGTTCTACATTATCACCTTTTATTCTGATAAACAAACGAAAAATTTAAAAAGATTTTTGTAACAATTGTCGTTTTGAACTCTTTATTTAGCGCAGCGTCATTATCGCGGAGATTTTTTCATTAATAAAGTCCAATGATTTTCCTCGAATGTCGCATAAAAATCTCGTCCTCGTTTTCTTTCTCAAATCTATTCAATTTTAATTCCATGCCGAGAGAGATTACGAGACACGATTATTCTCGCGGTTCTCGAAGAAGCACCAACGCGAGAAAACGAGTAGCGACGGGCAGGTATCACGACCACATGCACAATCACAGAACCGATTTGCAGCGAAATGAATTCTTCCTCTTCATTGCCCTCTTTTCCTTTACGCCTCTACCTTCTCTTCCGTAGATTTGCGCCCGAAGGGACGAGGACGACCGCAGAGGATTCTGCTGGGTGTCTGGCCAGACGAGCATATCCGCGGTGTGATTCGCGCGGTGGTATTCCGCGACGGTCACTCGCCACACATCGTGAAGGAGGAGCCGACCACGATGTACCCCAGCCTGGCGAACTACGCGGCTTGCAATGGCCCGGAAGGCGCAGTCAGTCCGGGTGCGGCAGCTGCGGCTGCGGTCGCGGCGGTCGCTCAAGGTAACGGCAACATTTCAGATTTTCGCATTTTTCCCCCCCTTCTTTTCACCTCACTTTTTCCGAGATCAATCATTGATGCTTTACGTGCCATGCCAGGCGGATTGAGATACTTGACCGTTTCGTTGAAATGCATTCCATAAACGTAATCTATTACTCGAGAGGATAACCACTAGCTGAAATATTATTCCAGATTACATGATTTCATTTGATTTCATACAATTTCATCTCATTACAAATAATGATCTTCACTACATATGAAGTCATTTGGTAACATAAACGATTTTATCTAATATTACACAATAATGTCTCGTGATTGTACATGTAATTATACATAGGAATTTCGGATTATACATAGGAATTTCATATGAATTTTATAATGATTTCGGGGATGCTGTCTCTCGATTACATTAAGTGATTACCCCCTCGCTATTACTAATAATAAAAGTAATGCTACGTAATAATATATAATAATAGTAATGAACTATAAAGTATGTAGTCACACACACACGCGCGCGCGCACGTACAGAGTGATTCATAAATAAAACATATCGATATTTCAGAGGATGAATTTACACACTAAAATAAGTAAAATAAATAAAAATTAACGTCAAATATGAACATACGTGTATTGCTACTGAATGATTAAAGAAAATATTTAAAGTATCGTATCTCATAGACGCTTATACTGCACACTTTAGCTCTTTATTTTTATCTAAAAATATCTATATTGGTGTGCAGAGTCAGAATTAAAGAAAATTTCGTGTTTTTTTTTTTGTTAAAAATGAAAAAAAGTGCTAATATTCCTGGAATCTTTGCTGAAAGAAAATTCTATGTTTACATTTAAAAGCTTCCTCTTCGAAAGATATTCGAAATGTATCAGAAAGTTTAAAGAAGACCTCACATTTCTTAATATCGAAATTCTGAAAAATGTGCTAATCTTTTTTTCTTTCAAAACAATTTTACTTATCCTGTCGAGATTTCTCTACATTAATTTCGATATCCATCAGGTCTGCGACACCAGATGTGCAGCATGGTGGCAGCGGCGCATTCGCAGCAACACGATATGATGGCGACGAACCTGTCGACGAATCTGTCTACCAGTCTGTCGTCAAATCTACAAGCGGCGATGCAGGCTAGCCAGCACCACAACAACAATAACACGAGCAACGCGAGTGGCGGCCTCGGCAGCAGCAATAGCGCCGGCAACAACAATGGCAATTCGCCATTGAATCTCGGTCTGGCGAGCCCGGGCTCGGGTGGACCGCCCGAGAGTCCGTTGGAGAGTCCTCTGGCGAGCCCGTTGGGTCCGCTGATGGATCCAGCGGGTCACATACCCAGTAGCGTGGAAGTCGGCATCGGCGTGAGCGGCATGACGTACAAGCCGGCACGGAGCTTTGTCAGTCCACGCCCGGAGAATCTCTTCCAGGAGGACATCGCCGATCTGGTGAAGAGCCCCCACGGTCTTAAGGACAAGGACAAGATCCCGGTGAAGCTTGAACCGCTCACGGACTCGCGCTGCGAATAGTAAGTCATTATGGTGGCTGCGGAACGAGGAGGAGAGACGACTACATCAGCTCCTATGGGATCGTCGTCGGCCGTGGAAGGACGACGTGCGTCGATGACCCCGAGGAGGATCTCTTTCTCTTCGAGGCCGTCAGCGGCCGAGGACCGGTGATGCGAGCCGATAGACTTCTCGCGAAGAATCAAGCATTGTCCGATTCACTTCACCTCCACTCGCGGGAGTTTATAATATGTATAAACGCGACTCCGAACGTTATACGCGAGCGCGATGTATTGTGCATACGAAAATCTTAGAGGGATATTAGAGAAAAAGAGAGGCTTACAATCAAAAGAAAAAAAAAATAATAATAAACTGACGGAGACACACGAGTGCGGACGAGATAAGCTAGAGTGTCGAGAATTTCTCGCCTGGGCTCAGCTCCGGGGAAGAACGATCGAACGGTAGTGGACCGTCCTAGACGAGGATCGCTCGGTCGGAACCTTCGACAGCGGAAAAGCAGAAACGGAGGAAAGGAGAGAGAGCGAAAGAGAGTAAAAACCTTCTTCTAGCAAACATACTATAGCTATACTAGGTCGCCGGCGCCTCGCGAGCGCGCCGCCACCTTTTTCCAATCTAGATAGTCGTGTCATCGTCGTGTCGTACAGACTATGTACATGTAATAAAGATAAAAAAAAACCCCCCACACGTTACACACATGCGCACACGTATGAATATACATACATTCACACATGGACAACACGAGCGCGCGCCGTACATAACAAGATACACACTCGAAATTTATACCTACGCATTATACGATAACTGTACTTTTAATGCCAAATGTATAATAACTCGTAAGGGGTCGCCTACTGCCGAATGATTGACTATTTGAGACGGGTATCGAGACGAGAAAAATAAGCCGCCTCGAACAAAGCTGCACGTTGTATTATCGAGTCCTTACACAACGTGTCATGGATCAGTTTGTGATACACTCCTAATTTTTAGGTGTCGCAAAAGAGAGTTGCTTGAAATTATTTTAAGACTATAAAGTAAGGTTTTTCTTATTAGTATATACATATATATATATATATAACGTGAAAGTAAAATAAATTATAGAGATCGCGAAAGTAAAATAAATTACAAAGATCGCGAACTCTCATTTTCTATTTCTGTATAAATTATTCTAAGAACGTAAATCTTGCTTTTAGGGAAAAAACAGATCTGGTCTTCAATTACTTATATAAATCTATCGATAGAAACATTTTTTTTTAACGTATCAAACATCTTAAAGATGAGTCTTGCCCTTTATCTATGAATCTCTTCGAAACAAAAAATCTCAATTTCATCCGCGACGCTTTGTGCAAGAATACTATCCTTTTGACGCCAGGCAGTAAGCGACGTCACCGATGTAAGCTCGATAAGTAAGGGAGATGTACAAAATTCACTATGATTGTCTACCAAGCAAGCAAACGAGCAAAAAAGAAAGAAATTAAAGAGCGAAAGAGAGAGAGAGAAAACGAAAGAGAGGAAAAAAGGTACGACAAAGTATTTAGAAATGGAGAAAACAAATTCAATGGCTTATAAAGCGAGCACACTCTAGGCCGAGATGATCGCTATAAAGTTATTAAGTATAATGATTGCCTTCCTGCCATATTTGGGGTATGCCAAGTATAAAAATTATAAGGTTTAGGGATTAGAGACGAGAAACTGTGGCTCGACACGACAGACCGTGTCGAAATTTCGGTGAGTTCGGCGACCACGAGTGTCTGTGCATCAATGCGAGATTGCGAAAGTCTGAATATACGAGTCTGTGTGCGTGTGTGCGTGAACACGAGTGTGAACGGACTGAGTATACGGAGAAATGTGCGAATGGATTTGAAAGAAAAGCTCGTATACGTGTTCTTTTTTCGAAAGATCGTGCTATTTTTCAAAATTTTACACACGTCGCGCGTGATTTCGCAAAGGGATCTCCAAGTCCTCGACAATCGATGAACGAGCCGTGCCGACCACTTAAAGTGATGGAGGTATTTTAATATCTACCATGCAAAATCGGGAGTGGAATTATGCACTAGTAGAATTTATTGGGGATTGTAATTATATAATCATCTTTGCTAAATTCAGAACCCGCGGAGTTTTAGACTTGATTACCGCAAAGTATCGCATTTCGATGGTGCTAATACGAAGATCCTTCATTTGACCACTGTCACTAACAAGCAGGCAATTTTTATTATAATGTCGAGCAAATAAGGGCGAAATTGTACACGATTAAAATTTATTGAACTTTGTAATTGATCGTCTGTACTAAATTCGATCTATCCAATTCGATTTTGATTACCGCTAGGTATCACCTTTCGATGGTGTTAATATGAAGATCCTCATTTGATCATTTATATCTTCCACCAGCTATAAACGGACCGTAATTTTTCAAATAATTTAATTCTAAATATATATTTCTCTCGTCGTAATTTTCTGAGACTTCTAACATCGGCACGCTGGTTCGGGAGAGAGAGAGGAAGAGTGCGAGAGAATGCCAGTGAGAGTGAGAGAGAGAGAAAGAGAGAGAAAGAGAGAGAAAGAGACTCCTTGTAAGTGTAAAAAGTAAACAAAAAAAAATTCGAAGTGGCCTTCGGTGAAAGGGAAAGATCATCGCTTTTCGCTTTTGCTCGTACGAGGCTTTTGGCGAAACGAGCCATCCGTGTTATCCGTTTGTCTGGAAAACTTTACGGAAGAGAGGGTAAAAAAATCGCAGAAAGAAAAAAAATTGATTCTCGCACCACGCTCATGCAGCCAGAATATTATCGGTAAAGGAGGTAAGGAAAAGAGAGAGAAGAAAAAGGATCGCGCGATCGTAGCACGTATATGAGGGAGTGACAAAACATCAGGCAAGTCAAAAATAAAGGGGGGGAAAAAAGTAACACGTTATTCTTGATACAAACGACTTTTGTGCGAAAACGCGACGGTGTCGCGAGGCGACACGCGGACGGCGCGGCGATTTATTATTAGTATACGCGTTGCGAGACTTCAATCGACCACGTTTTTCATTTCGGCGTGAAATTCGGAAAGCGCGAATTCTATTTACCATTTAGGCATTAATGTGTTCAAACGTAAATTCGCGCGAGACGTGCGATGGGTTAAAAACGAAGAGTGAAAGAGAGAAAAAAGAAGGGTTGCGCGGGCAGTCGAAATTTAGAGAAGCGCAAGCCGAATCGCGAAAAAAAATTCCAGGTGCAAGAGGAAGGAGAGAAAGAAAAACGAGAGAAAGGAAGAATATACGCGAGGTCGCGAGAGCGTGGGGAAGAGAGAGAGAGAGAGCGAATGCGGAAGAGTTTAAAATTAAATACTGTATAAAAAGAAAAAAAGTAGTAAGTGCCTTCCAAAAAAAAAAAAAATTTAAGTGTCCCGTAGACCGTGACCACTTGACTAAGCGACGAGAAAAGTCATTCGAAATTCTGCTGAATGCATTACTCGTGTGATCATGTTTGTAGATACGGTGCGTAAGTTTGACACTTCGCTTTCTTCGAGTTGATTTTATTTTCTCCACTCGCTGGTACTCAGCGGTGTAGATCAATTTTATTTCCGATTAAAGCGGACAATGTGACTGAAAAATTGACAGTTTCGTCAAGAAAACCTAGCAAGCTGACGTTATTTATCATCTTGATTAGAGATGTAGCGGATCGTAAAATTTCCGGATATCCAGTCAGATATCTGGTAGGACAATTATCTGGCCAAATACCGGATATTATTTATACCGGATATCCGTATAATTTCTCTATTTCTAGTTAGAAAAAAGAAAACAAGGGAAAAATAGCCATAATAATTTTCTTTATCTCCCCAATGTGAAAAGAAAAAGGAAAGATGAGCTGTGCAAAAAGTTCAGCTGAAAAAAAAATAGGATTCTGTATCAATGATGCGAACTTTCAATATAAAATTTCAGCCGGATGTATATTATATATTGCCGGACACTAACAATATCCAGGTAAAAAAGGACCGGATAAGATCGGATACCGGATACTGTTCGGATATTCGGTACATTTCTAATTTTGATTTTCACATCAGCTTGCTATCTGAGAATCTTTCCATGTTCCCGTAGTCCGCGTACTCTTTTTCTATTTTTATTTGCTTCAAACCTTGAGAGATTTTTTTAGTTTCTAATTATAATCAGCATTGTAAATGTACAGAACGTGTCATTTTTTTCAGTATTTAATTTGACCTATTCTATTCTCAAATTAAGTCTAATCTATAAACCTAGATTGGCACGAATTCGGCGGTTGATATAAATTTACACTTGCAGCATTTTTCGATATAAAATTTTTCAATCATCCGATTCCTGAACTATTTGCGAAGAAGAAAAACGCAGTTGCGCAATAAGAAAGATGTTCAATTAACCGGCGAATCCTCCTATGTCGAATACGCAACGTATCTACGAACTTTTGTGTGCGTGTCAGAGTGAATGTCCGAAGCAACAAACTACCCGACAAAATTTGTGTTTTGGATCAATCCACACAGGTAATACCCTGAATGGCATATTCTCGAAATGTTTTCCTTTTTAGTTTCCCGGCAAAGCAAATAAAGTCGACGCATTTTAGGTAGGAGGGAAAGAGTATAGGGAAAAAAAATGAAAGCGGAACAGCTGATCGACCGAACGGAGAACGGCTATTTCGAGAGGACCCTTTCGTTTCCACATTTTGATATATACATATATGTATCTGTGAACAGATGGTGAAAAAAAAAGAATATACCTATATTACATACCTAAGACATAAGTGAACAAAAAGTATCTAATACGCTATTATTGATATAGAACACAAAGTGAATATATATATGAGAAAAAAGTATATTATATATATATAAATATATATATATATAGAAATTGATATATTGACGCGCTGTAGGATTATACTGAGGCTGAGTGCGTTTATTGCGAAAAAGAGAGAAAGAGCGAGAGAGCGCGCGCGAGCGAGAGAGAGAGATAAAGATAGAGAAGCCGCGGTTCTTTTTTTCCGAACGTCGTCGAGGACGAAACAAAAGTTCACGGGCAGAATTTTGCACTAGGCGAACTAAAAGGCTTGGAGACTTTAGAATCGAGAAGATGAAGTAGCTTGTAGGAGGTTTTTTTTTTATCGGGTCGACATACAAAACGGACATGCGTGACTCTGGCGCTACCTTAGTGAGAAAGCTAATTCATTTTCAGCTCACGGATGCGTGTCTCGTTTATCGATAAACGCTTCGAATGATATTTCGTCGCTTTTCTTTTTCTTCTTTTATGTCCATTTCTATCAACGTAGATTGATTTCAATCTCGGTTTTAATTACTTATTTTTTATCTTTTTCTAATTCTTAGGACTAGAAAAAGACGGAAAGTAAGTTAAATTGAGGATAAAATAAATTTATTTTATCATTGATAAAAATGGACATAAAAGAAGAAAATTGAAGCGAGCAAAAAAAATGGACTATTTCTATCAAGATCAGAATATAGATGAATCTCGGTTTACTCTTTACTTTTTCTAATTCTTAGAATTAGAAAAAAACATAAAAAGATTATTAAATTAAACCTGAGATCAAGGTTAATTATTTACATCGGTAGAAATGGACATAAGATGATTTCGAAACTAACACGTTAAATTGTTTTACAATCGTAGCACATGTTCAAAAAATCGGACTAGCTTAGCTAAATTTAATAAAACAATTAGAAAATCAATTCTTTTTTAGGAAAATCTGTAAAATTGTAAATATATTTCACAAGAGATTGGTGCGATCATCGATATGTGAGACGCAATCCAAGAGTTTCAGATCACACGCATGCATAAACCGATCGACGAGGGCTTTCGTTCCACGCACGTGTGAAATCTTTCCTTTGATCGTTGTTATTGCCGCGGTGTTGAATGGTGAATGAAAAAAAAAAATCTGCGAGAAAAACGAGTTGCACAGCGAACAGCGACAGCCAACTATAAACAGAACATAAGTAGTTTCCGTACACACGATTTACGACTAGTTTACAGGACGCGCGGCCAACGACGGCGGTTTTTCCCTAAG